ATCAATATACGAACTCGATACCATTCGAAATTGACATTGTTCCCAAATCTTTACTTTTCAATCAATATCAACTCGACATCAGTGACTTTTGACTATCCAAGATCAACAATCGAAAGCTTTATAACGTCACAGCACTTTATGCATGAGCAAGATCACATCAAATTTTCAATATTAAATCCCAAATTAAGTATGTTGTCGACATCAATAGCTTGTTCTTAACTCAACAACAACATCTTCATCCTTCAATTCATTGATTCATCTCCAGAAAATCAACTTTGACTTTTTCTAGATTTGACTTTTTCGAAATCAAAGATCAATAAACATGAAATCAAGGATTCCTTCACCACATTCCTTATCAAAACTTGTTCAAAGACCTGTTCTAAACATGTTCTTCACAACAATTTCAAACTTTATTGATCGATTTCGTCAAACTCAAAAATATAGATCGACAATTACTTGATCATTATCTACTTTTGAGATTGAAGACATCAAATAAAATCGATTCACAAGTTTAACAACACTAATAAGTAATTGAGTCGCAGGAACTGATTTGCAAGAACAACGAAAAAAAATTGATAATACGAATAGAATACGATAATATCAATTGACGCTGTGAACGATGGAGTAAACAAATGTTTATTTGGGCTTGATAACCTCAAACATGAACAGTAGACGAACTCTAAGATTGTGGGCATAGATTTGGTTATTTGAACAGTAGTGAACGAAATTTGGATCAATTAGGCTTGAACTTTGAATAAAAGATGAATAGTAACTGGATTTAATTAGATTTTGTTGTTTTGATTGGATTTGAGCTTAAAAAAAATTATTGGATTACACAAAGGGGTTTTTTAAGAAAAAATTGATCCAACGAATCAAACGATCACAAATCACAAATCAAAAATTTAGATTCAATTATCCCTTTTGTAATATGTGGAGCATAAAGGGCGTTTTCTAATCATAATTTCATAGTTTTCAAAACAATACATGAACGTAACAAACCATTCAAACTATAATAGGTATAGTTTGGGATTTCATTACTAGTCATACAGATTCAAACTTCATGCAAAGTCAAACATATAAACTATGTCAGATTTAGTTTATTCATTACTACGAATACAAAACTAGAGTATCTTGCTAAATAATTATTTTGTGTATAATTATTTGTACTCTACACCGCTACAAATGATTTCGAACTCGAGAACAACCAAACAACACATAAACTAGTTAATAAATGATTGTGAGACTTATCTTCGTTATGCCCCTCGGGTTACCAATAAATCATCCCCGGTAGTATAACTAGTGTCTTCTCGAGGGAGAGAGTGAAATTCGTGAATACATCTGTTCGGGACCAACAATCCCACACCTAAACTGTTAGCTACAGTTAGGCGGGCACGCCTGGAGTGACAAATTTTGTAATTGTACGACACCTGAAGAAACGTCAAGGAGGTCACCGATCATACTAGTATGGTTATACGACTCACAATATGTATAAACTAACCTTTGTTTACAGGATTTCTTTCTACTATAGTTTTATTTTAAGTAATAAAACTACCTATCTACTTACTGGAGGGTATTCCAGGGACACAACCTTTGGTTTTATGTTAAGTAATAAAACTACTATAGTTACTGGTGATAGCCAGGGTTTTCGAACATATCTTACATACTGGTGCTAACAAGGATTTTCGAACGGAACAATACTTTTCATATAGAAATCAACAAACATGTTAGAAAATATTGGATTTTCTTGGAAAACATGCATACATATTTCATAACTTGGTAACAATGGTTTTCGATACAAACAAAATTTACTTATAATGGAAAGAAACCATTTATACAAATTCAGTGACTAGTTTTCAATACACAAAAACATGCTTATGAACTCTCCAGCTTTATGCTGATTCATTTTCGAAACCGCTTGTATTCTCAATGCAACGATAGATACGTACTTTGCCAGCTTTTGGAGAAGACGGAACAATTTTGGAGTCTCGTCTTTATCTTTTGCTATATACTGTTATGTACAAACTATGTTCTCAAAACAGATGTGAATATTCATATTGTAATTTAATGGTTGTGTTTACTTTTATTGCTATAATACGATTGTTGTGATACTACATATGACGTCACCTACCCCCGGACGTTTCCGCCGTTGTTTTTCTGACGGTTCGGGGGGGGGGGGGGGTGGCATCAGTGCTATGTGTTTCGACTTTGAGTGTTGAACAGGATTGTGATATATGCGTATGGCACTTTAAGAGTCATAGTAAAACAGGATTTGTTTCCTATTCAGACCATAGTCGTGAAGTTGGCTTTGAATCCAAGTTACTTATGAAGTGTATGCGACTGAATCTATGTACTCTGCTTCAATAGTTGAGAGGGATACACAAGTTGGCTTTTTTGACTACCAACTTATGAACTTGCCATCCAAAATTTGGCATCCTCCGATAGTACTCTTTCTATTTAGCCCACATCCTCCAAGATCAGCATCCGAAAAAGCTTGCACAAAGAAACTAGATTTCGATGGGTACCATATTACAAGGGAGGACGTTCGTTTTAAATACCAGAATATGTTCTTAACATCTATCATGTGAGGTTCTCGAGGTTTTTTTTGAAACCTAGCACAATAACAAAAAGAGAATATTATATTTGGTCTACTAGCAGTTAGATATATTAAAGAACCTATCATTTGACGATAGAGCATTATGTTTGTAGCCAGTTTATCCAGAGATGGAGTCAGTTTGATCCAAAATGCCATGGGAACTTTCACCTTTGAGTCACTTACCATCACAAATATAGCAAGAAAATTATGTGTGTAAGCTTCTTGATGAATAAAGATACCTTCCTGACTCTGTCTAAAATTCAATGCAAGGAAAATGTTAATTGGACCCATGGAGCTCATCTCAAATTTTGTTACCATTAACTTTCAGAATTCAGCTGTTCAACTTGGATGAGTTGATCCAAAGATAATATCATCAATGTAGATTTGGACAATCATCAAGTGGCCATCCTCTTTCTTAAGAAAGAAGGTTGGGTCAACCGAACCTTGTTAAAATTTATACATTTTTAAGGAGCGAGTTAGAGTTTCATTCCAGGCTCTTGGAGTTTTCTTCAGTCCATAAACTGCTTTGTCTAGGATGTAACAGTGATCTGGATATTTTTCGTTTACACAACCAAGTGTTTGTTCCACATACAATGTCTCTTCAAGTTCTTCATTTATGAATTCACATTTGACGTCCATCTGAAATACCTCAAAGTTCTTGTGTGTTGCATATGCCAAGAAGATGTGAACGGATTCCAACCTTGCAACTGGTGCGAACGTTTCTTTGTAGTCGATGACTTTTTCCTGACAATATCCCTTGACAACGAGTCTCACTTTGTTTCTAATCACATTTCCTTCTTTATCAAGCTTATTGTGAAACACCCATTTTAAACCTACAATAGATGCATTCGATGGAGTAAGGATCAATCTCCAAACCTTGTTTCATTAAAACTCATTAAGCACGTCCAACATTGCTCGCACCCAATCAATATGATCGATAGCAACATTCACTACCATAAAAATGGGCATCTATGACTAAAATTTTAAAGAATGATTAATCAGTCTTAGATACCATGTATTTAGGACTGATTAATCAGCCCTTGATACTAGTGGGGGCTGATTTCAATGTCTGAATCATCAGAGACTAAACAAACCTATTATAGACTGAAATTCAGTCTCTTTTATATTTACACTGAATTACATTTAGAGGGTATCTTATTAGGGACCAAATTTATGTCTTTGATATACATATTCAGTTTTTACTTTGGAAAGAAACCTCTTAGGGACTGAATTTTAGTCCTTGATAGACTTGCGGTGGTTTTCATTTTTAAAGAAACTTATTTGATTTGCACCGATTATAATTTTAGAAGGATACTTATTAGAGATTAAATTTCAGTCTCTAATAGATATGTATTACTTTACAAAGAGTAAATTACACGTATGGTCCCTATGGTTTGGGGTAATTTGTACGTTTGATCCTTAACTTATTTTTAACTTGGAAGGTCCCTACAGTTTGTTTTTGTTGTGCGCTTTGTCCTTGTCTTACCCAAAAAGATTAATTTTCCATTGATTTTTTTTAATTTAGTTAAATAATGTGGGGTAGGTAAGGTAAGGTAATGTGAGGTAGAAGTGGGGTTGAGGTGTGTTTATTTAAATAAATTAAAAAATTAATGGAAACATAGTGTTTTTAGGTAAGACATGGACCAAACATGCAACAAAAACAAACAATAGGGACCTTCTGAGCTAAAAATATAAGTTAGGGACGAAACATGCAAATTAACCCAAACCATAGGGACCATTTGTTTAATTTACTCCTTTACATTTAAATGTACACTTATCATGGACTAAAGTTTTTGTATTTGAGCCTAATTAAAAAGTCATAAATACCATGTATGAGTGATTGGTGAAATAATCACAAATACTAGTTAGAAGGATATTTATTGGGGACTGAATTTTAGTCTCTGATCGACATGCCTCAATTTAGATTTATAGGCACTTATCAATAACTGGATTGGAGTATTTGACAGTGATCAGTAATTTTGATACCAAAAATCAGAGTTATGAATATTTCCCGGATAATATTTGAAAAGAAACTTATCATCTTAAATTTTAAAATTTTACATTACATATAATGTTTTTTATGTTTAAATAATTTGAAAGCTATCTTTATTCCATTTATTACATATTTTCAATTTTTTTATTTCCCTCCTCATTCCCCCCCCCCCCCCCCCCCCAAAAAAAAAAACTTTCATTTCAAGAGACTTATTTTTTTAATTCACTCCTATTCTCCCACTCCCCTCTCACAGATTTATCTTTTTTGTCTAGGGTAAATTAGTTATGTTTTCACAACACTCGCAGACGGTATTCATGCCTAACCAACAACCCTATAAGCACTAATGACTACGAACCCTCTGTTTATCGCTGTCACACCCTCGATCCACGTCACCGTCGTTGATCCTCGCTCTCCATGTTGCAGTTTCCATCAACGGCCTTTGCTCTACGTCGTCACCACCACTTCTTTGATCTAGGTAGGCACATATATTCACAATTGTCTCTACCTACAAATCTCTCTTCTTCTCATCATACGGGTGTTTGGGATTTCTTTTTAGCTTAACAATTGCTTTTCAACAAAAGGACTTTTTGGCTTATAGATTTTTCCAAAAGTAGGTTTTAAAATGTGTTTGGATTAGCTTTTGAAGGAACAAAATTTAAAAAGCCAAAAGTCACCAAACGTCACAAATTGTGACTTTTAAAACCATAACTTTTTCTTCTTGCCAAAAAGTCATTCTAAAATGACTTTTATAATTGCCAAACAACTTTTCAAACTTTTAGCTTTTTGTAAAAGCTAAAAGTCCAAAGAGTAATTTTAAAAGTTATCCCAAACACCCTCATAGACCAGTCATCCCTCGCATTAGTAGTAAACCAAAGATATCAATTAGAGCTTAGAAGTATGTGGAGTTCCAGTCGATGGTCATCATTAACTGTTTTATCTGATGCTTAATCGCAGGTCGTCTCATACAATCGTTTATCTTTGTTCATTCATTCACCATCCCTGCTAAATCGACTCTACAACTATAAGTCTAAAACCGAGAACTCTACAAGTTCTTATCAGGTCAGCTTCATAATCTCGAGTTTTATAAATATGTGAAGATTAGTTCTGAAAATCGTAATTTTTGTAAATATGTGATGTTTATTGTTGTAAATATGTGCAAGGTGATCCTGAGGAAATCGTAAAAGAGATAGATCGTATGGCCACTAACCAGGTACACAATTGTTATTTGTATTCTCCATTGATGTGCTTCGAGAGTCACATTTTGCTGATTCAGAATGTGTATATGTGAGTAGGTGAAAGGACCGGTGCTAGTTGAAGACATTTCCCTCTGTTTCAATGCTCTGAAAGGCCCTCTAGTTAGTATAAGATTATGGATCATGATGAGAGTGCAGTTTACTTGAAGTCTTTATCTTCAAACCTTCTTCAAGAACACTTGAGATTGTCTAAATTAAAAATTCACCATTTTTTTTTATTGTAGGACCTTACATGTAAGTCTCATTTGCTGCACTTTCTTTTTCATTGCATAAAAAAAATGCTTCCTTAAGACATCTGGAGTCGTTTTTTTCTTTTTCTTTGTTTTTTAGGTGAATGAGTTTGCTACATCTGTAGTTGGTTCCCCTCTAACCGAAGTTGGTGAAGGAGCTACCAATCTTCATGTAGACCATGGAGTTGGTGACGAAGACCTTTCAATGGCCATGAATGAAACGCAGAGTCAGGGTCAGAGTCCATGTTACTAAGTTTGAAGCATGGTCTAGAATTATCGTAGCCTTTGGTAGATGTGACCATTATTTGTTGTCTGTTGATTTTTTTGATACACTTATTAAAGAAAGACTTTGTGAGGAACCCATTAATGAGTTTGTTTAGAGTTGCGATATTGTTGCATTCAACAAGATGTGTAAGTTTATTGTTTTAATCAAATCTTTTTTGTTTTCTTCCTGAAGTTATATGATTGATTAGTTTGCTAATGTGACTAGTTTTGTGATTGCAGAGTTCGATAATGTTGCTGTTGTAGTTTTGCTATTGTTGTTTTATGTTGTTTTATGCTATTTTGCTATTATGTATTTTGTTTTGTTGTTTTGAAACTGTTTATGTGTAGTTGTTTTGTAGTTTATTGTGGACATGTTAAATTCAATTTTTTGCAGTTTTGTTGTTTTAAGATCAAGTTTTTTTAATTGTTTTAGTTTATACCTTGAATTCCTATTCCTTATAAAAGTTAATTTCAATGGCATTTATAAAATAAAAAAATATATAATATTCAAAAAACCGGGTACCTTAAACTGGAACCGGTCTTGGCAGTTACGGGTGTGGTTCCAAATTTCTAGGAACCAGTGTAAGCGGTTCTGGTTCCATTACCAATAATTTCACACCCGACAGTTTTGGCTGCAGTTCCGGTTCAGCTAAAATAGGTGGGTATCCGGTTATACTCATCGTTAGTTTGGAAGACTGATATTCAGTCCTAGAATGATAGTTTTAAGGAAAGAGGTTCAAAACTAAACATGATAGTATCAAAGACTAATATTTAGTCTTTGAAATATACTATAACAGACTAAAATTACATAAAATAGAGATGTCAATGAAACATTAGAGACAAAATAATATATTATTACGAGTTGATATTCAGTCCCTAAAAGATAATATCAAGGATTGCTATGATGTTAAAGTAAGGATTTGATGAAAAATATTTAGAGACCAAATGAGATATTATCAGAGACTCATATCCTGTCCTTGATAGTTTCATGTATTAGGGACTGATTTTCAGTCTCAGATAAATAAAAAATAGACTATCTAAGACTAGGACTAGGGAACTGGCTGGGGACTAGCTAAACCAGTCTCCGATTCTCATCAAAGACTGATTATTGACCATCAGAGATTGATTACGTCAGTCTCTTATACCCTTTTTTCTTCTGGTGATGGACAATTTGGGATTCAATCCTAGATACAATGAATTAAACATGCAAAATTCTACTATAGAGAATAATGCAGTTTATTTCGCTTTTTGTTGGGATCTCATAAAAATCCTGCAAACGATTCGCCTATAACCTGCGTTTTTGGATGATCTCTTGTCCATTTAGTCATAAGAGGATAATATGGATCCCAAGAAGGATCCAATTTAACATTTATATCCTCAAATTCTAACTGTACATCCGAATCATCATTCGTATAGTCTTTCTCTCCCTAGATTGACATGAATGTCTCTTCTTCAGGTGTTGAATTTTCCCCCTGGGGTGGCTTTCATGAGTCCTTTGTGGAGTTGAGTGCTCCCCCTGAAAAGATGCATTGGACGGTGATCCAGAATCCCCTCTTGGAATGTAGTATTTGTGTCATGTGGGACATTCACACTTGGTGCCTCTTTGTGCATGTCATTTGTAGCGTGATCGATTACCTTCGTCAAATCATCGACCTTATTGTAAGCCGCTTTCGAGTCGGAAGAGCTTGCCATTTCTAGTTCATCGAATAGTAGCATGAATTATTAGTATAGATTGGATAGTGGAATCGTAGCTAGGATTAGTTTAGGAAAGATCTCTTTTGATTGACTGCCCTAAATGGATACCTTCATCAGCTTTTACATCGAATTTATTCCTTTGTTCTTTATAATTAAAGATGAAGCACCTGGTACCAAAAGCATGGAAAACATTTACGTTTGGTTTTTGTTTGTTTATGATTTCATAGGGAGTGATAGAAAATTGTTTATTGAGAAAGGAATTAAAGGTCTTATTTGACCACGATGGCTCTAAGATCATAGAAAAGAAAACCAAAACAGTCCTTCTTAATTCTAAATTCAAAGGCGAGATGTATCCCTTGAACTTAAATCTGATTCGAGGAAATCCATCCATGTGCGTTCTAACAAAAGCTCCTGTACATGACAGTTGGCTATGGCATAGAGGACTTTCGCATTTAGGAACCCAACGTTGTTTGGGCCCTTGTGAGTTTTTCACAGGAAGATAAATGGAAGGATCAACTAGATATGTTCATTTTATTAAGGTTGTTTTGTATTTGTTTTTTATTTTGAAAACAGTAATCCTATTACCTTTTATCTTAGAATTCTTGGTGGATGATTTGTTTTTATGATGCAGGATTTGTTGTTTAATGGCCTTTTCACACCTTTCTTAATGTCTACTTCAGATCTTTTCAGAGGAATTTTAGACTGCGAAACCATCTTTCCTTTGCCCTTCACATCCCGCGAAAACTTATATGATAAATAGATTATTCATGGGTAGCTTTATGATGCAAAACCTTGGGTTTCGTAGACGTTGATACTTTCACATTTGGATGGAATTTTTCCTTACAAACAATGTCTGGATTCCTTGACTCTTAGAACTGCTTTATTTCTTTAAGATTCTTTTTGTATCTAGCATTACTTTGACGTTTGTATGTTGCGAAATGTTCTGAGGATTTGTCAATGATAGATTTTGCTCTTGGCTTTCTTGCTGGAGTTTTTTTTTTGCACTGAAGATGTGTCGCTAGGAGATAACCAAAAGTACTCCTCACATCAATCTGCGTTGTCTTCTTCTACTAAAGACGTTACTTCTACTGTTTGATTCCTATTTACCCCTTTGACTTTGAAAACCTGGTTAGGAACAGTTTAGACTTTTGGAAATACAGTAGCAATTTCTTTTAAGATCTTTGGATTATCTTCAGAAAGACGTGCGAATTCAACAGAATTTTCAGAAATTGGGACTTTCGGAACATCAGGTTCATTTTTAACAAATTCTAAGCAATCAACCTCATCCTCTACAGATATTTCACTCATATCATTGTCATCATCAAATTCAGATGTGTTATCAACATTAAGTTTGTTATCTAAACTCAACTTTGTACTTAATGAGTCAAACTTCTGCGCAGTATCAGATTTAATTCGTTTTTTGTCATTTTCATCCAAAACCTGTTTTCGCATGTTCTTGTGGTCCTTTGACATAATGAATAATTCAATATTGTCCAAACCAATCATGTAAGCTTTCAAAGTTTCATCAGATGAGATGATGGATTCGCACTTATAACAGTCAGCATTGATCTCATCCTCCTTTAATTCAAGGAAGGGAAAAATTATTTTATGGAGTTTTTTACCAATCTCATAATCAAGATGCAATTAAGTTATATTAGTATAAAGCTTTTTCGCAATCAAACAAAACATATTATGTTGTTTAAAAATTATTAATTTGTCTCGTTGCAAATAAATTAACTTGTCCTAGACTTAGCTAAATCAGAATCAATCTTCTCTATCCATATGCGTCTCCCCTCACACTTTGACGAAACCTACTGACTTGATCGGTTAGGTTAGAATTTGTTAAGTGAGTTTGTTTCAAACTGTTAATGATACTAGAAAATGTGAATTTTAATTCATTTAGTTTAGTTTTGTATCTTGACACAGGTATATTGAGTGTTTCAAGAATAGAGTGTACCTTGTTGATCATTTGATCACATTCGTTGATTTGCTCAAAAACCAGTTTTTGCAGTGAAGTAGCTATCACACCCATGTCCACTGTCAGTGGTGCATCCTTGCAAATGTGACACATCACTTGTCACCATGAAACATCTTCCTCCCGAATGAAAAAATTCTTCTTTCTTAACGAAACTTCTCCCATGAGTTGGCCTGCGAACCTCCTCATCTTCAGAATCCGTGGACTAGACTTCCACCCTTTCAAATTCATCATCAATTTCTTTTTCCTGCACAATCAAAGCAAGCATTGAATTATCAGACTTCTTTTTCTTCTTTATCTCCTCAAGCTTTCAGAGATGGTAGGTCTCGTCATATTCTCCTTCCTTCTTTTCATTCAGCCTTTGCAGCATGCATTCTTTGGCCAAGTGATTTTTGCCATGACAATAGTTACAATCATAGCCAGAGTCACCAATTAGTTTCTTTTCCTTCTTTTCATATTCCTTTTGTGAGCTATTCGCATTTCCCTCTTTTACCTTCTCAAAACTATAGCTTCCCTGCCAGTTTTGGTTCTTGTTTTAAGGAAACTTCTTCTTTGCGAATCACTTCAGATTTGACACCATCAATGCAAACTCTCCATTGTAAGCTATCAATTAGTGAGATCAGAATCTAAACCATCCTTTTCTACTTTCTTGCCCTTCGCAACAAGAGCCAAAGATCCCATCCAAGATACAACTTTCGCTTCTTTTGTAACCTAATTTTCATGTGACTTCAAGATTCCAACAAGCTTTTCCAAAGTATAGTTTTTGAACAGCTCATGTGCCTTGACTGTTAACACCACCGCCATCCACTCAAATTTAAGCCCATTCATAAACGTGACCTTTTGTTCAATAATTTAACGTCCAATTCCATTTCTTATTATCCTACTTAGAAGATGAGTGTAACTATTGAATGTTTGACTCAAACTCTCTTCAGGCTTCTATGTAAAGGCACCAAACTTTGAAAGCAACAGTGTTTGTGTGGAGTGCTCAAGATCTTCATCTGTAAAGTAGAGTTCCTTAAGCCTATCCCAGATGCCTTTAGTTGTGTCACATGCGCTAATCAGACAAAAAGTGTCAGCCAACAAAGCAAATTGAACGATTATTATTTCCTTAACATTGCTAATAAATTTGTCTTTCTCATCTTGAGGAACATCTTGAACATCAAGAAGAACTTTCTTGTAGTCAGATTGAGTTTTAATGACTCTGCTTGTTCCAGTGTGAACAGATGTTGCAAGAGTGATGGCCTCCCAAATCAGATATTCGTTGTATTCTAGACCACTAAAGTAGTCTTTGAAGTGAAGCACCCATACTTCATATTCATTGGGGAAAAGAATTAGGATCCTAGTGGTTGATCCAATGCTGCTAGAAAGATTTATGGAGTTGATGTTAGAGTCGTCATGCTGCATGATGATATACCTTTTGAAACCTGTTAACAATAAGAAGTGTAAACTGATGTAGTTGTAGGATAATATTAAGATCACATATTAGCGTCAATAAATTGTGATCACAGTTCAACTAGATCCAATATTAACAGAAACCCTAATGACTTTATAAGCAGAAGAGATGCGTATAGATTACACAGTCTCTTGCTCTGACACCAATTGTTAGGATATTAATCCTTGAAAGATCGATTAGATTCAAAACGGATTGAAAGAAAAAAAAACATGAATAATAACAAGACAAAGATTCAAAATATGCTTAATGATTATAAGCCACGGCCTCAAAAGAACTCGATTAAGAATTGCTACTGTAGAGGCGTGATTAGTTTTACAAGAATTATGTCAAAGTTATGAAACACGGTGCATGCATGCACCTTAAATAGTCTAACCCTAATAAAATGACGGGTGGACAAGCCCAAGCCCGTTTATATAAATGAGTTATTAAAGTAAGACTTAATGACACAAACCCTAATTCCTAACACCAAACATATTCTTAGCACAAATATCTGACTTCTAATGGCCCATTTAGGCCCAATAACTGCTAAGCCCAAAGATTGGCACACATCGAAGCCCAACATCGCAAATCCTTAAA